GGCTTCTGAAACTTTCGGGATCCATGAGGGAGTTTGGATTGTTGGCAAGACTGTGAAAAGTGACACACATTCAAACTGGCATGGTCGGCTGCCATTTTATAGCGGGGCACCGCTGTTTGTTTCCTACTCTGGTCAAAATCCTGCTTGCAACAGATTTGGTTGCTATGCAGCGTGTACGCTGCCCTTGTTTACGTCAGCAATTACTGAACAGTTCTAATCTGTTTCAGAGCCCTGCCGTAAACAGCTTTATTAGCCCCAAGACCCTGCTTTCCATTGATATGTACGTATGACATGGTATCTTCCCTGTTATTGCCATCAGACCATAGTAATCATAAACTATTTGTCTTCCCATGTCTTCCATGTTATCCCACTTTGAAAGAAAAAAAAAGCTATTTCCTAGAAGCCTCTGGAGGGTGGACATTCCTATGTCATCGGGGTCTTACCAGGGCAGCCTCTTAATGATTCCTTATTTCATTATAGGATAATTTGCTCTGCCTTAGGCACACAAACTAGAGTCTAATGATTGAGTTTTGGCATGACATTTATGGTCTTTGTTTTCTTTGCCCAAATTATCTATTTTCTGCACATGAAGTCTTACCAAAACATGTAGTGTTTCTGAACTCTGATGTCCTCAAAGGGTTTTTTAAGAGGCCTTTGAATCTGTTTGGATATGTGTGTTTTCTCAAAATTCAACTCCATTATGCAGTATCCTATGCCTGAAATTCCTGTACATCTCTTCTTCCTGTCAGCTCTTTAGGATTCAGCTTAAATGTTACTTCTTTTAGGAAGCCCTCTCTTGTCCCTCTAGATTGGATTAGATGGCTCTTTGGTATGCTCCCATACCATGCTGTTCTTACCCCGTTATAAATCTTGAACTTATCACTCTCCCCGTGTAGACTGGAAGCTCCTTGAAGACAGGTAGAGTCTCACTCACAGTTTTGTTTGTCACTGCTAGGAATGTGGAGGATTACAGTTTTGTTTTTTTTACTTTAATATAGGAACCTCATACTTCAAAGTGAGATCCACTGCTTTAGACTATGTAAACTCTATCTTTTCTTCTGCTTCCCCAAACCTGCCTTATCTATCTTAATGAGGCTCAGACTGGAACCCAGATCTGACTCTTAGTATAATCTAGGTTGCACTGCTTCCCAGCTGCTATCTATGCACAATTAAGATGGAGGTCATATAGTCAGAACAGTTGTTTTCTTGGTCATAATTCTAAAAGGAAATATACAGGAGGATGTTTATTGAGGTACCTAGTGTGTACTTCACACACACTATTGTTTCCCAGGTGGTGAGAGTGAATACCTAATTAGCAACTGGCTCAGGTGCTGGTATATATGTGGGAAGGTCATAGGAGAAAAGAGACCTCAACCAACTCGGAATAGAGTCACGAGTCATGAGTGACATTGTTGTGATAGTGTTTGACATTGTTTATCATAAAAGTCTTTCTTACACTTAGCCATTTAAATAAGAGCGTTGTCCATTGTATGATGTTTTGCATGGTATTTTGAAATAACCACTCTCCCATACTATCTTTTTTTAAGGCCTTTGCTCACGTATCAAAATTGTTGTCACAGTGTAAATTTGATCTTTTGGAAGAACTTGTGGCCAAAGAGGTAAAGTATACTTTTAATTTTTGTTTAAAATCAATGTATAATTCTACTGCAGTGGAATGATCGTACACTGTCTTTATCTGTGCTTAAAAATA